GAGAAGAAGAGGCACCCGCCGCCGGCCTCCGGGGACTCGCCGCCCGAGACCGCAAACGCGATAGTCAATAATTGCCTTTAGGGTACACCGGATCGGCGAGCGCCAGAAGAGAGAGATCGAGCGCGATCATCGTCCGCGTGTGCAACCCAACGACTGTCGGACGAACGCAACCCGTTCCTCGGTGGCTTGGAGCACTAGGGGAGGGTAGCCAAGACGTCGAAAGGATGATACGCGTCGACGAGACTGACCCGGTGGGCGGTAAGGGAGACCAAGCATTGCTCGATACACCAAACGGCGTGCCAGTCTATGGAATGCTTACGATCGCGTCGAAGATTATCGTGGATTATTGGTGAAATATTTGATGGGAATGATTTATTGGAACATAGATATCAAGTTTTAATAATTATAGTTTTATCGCACGTATGGTGAATAGGTATGCAGAGTTTCGAGTGTAAAATTGTTCGGTATCGAGGATCATCGTGATCTGTTTGTGAAACGTTTGATGGGCACGATCTTTGGAATATGTAGATGCAAAGATACAAAATTTTCTCAAGTATGATATATTATTTGTGGTGAATAGGATCGATGTCGATTGTACAATTGTCGAGCATCGAAGATGATCGTAATTCGTTCGTGAATCGTTGCAGACGATTGTTGGAATGTATACATATATATATATACGATAGATATAAGGAAATATGCAATTTCCATAGTATATGGTATATTATGTGGTGTGAATAGGACTAGTGTCGAGGGTTTCGAGTGTAGAACCGTCGAATTTTTCAACGACGAAAATCGTTGTGCTTTGTCTGTGAATGATTTTTGAAATATTTTTGAAATATAATAAGATGTAAGGCTCTCATAGTATATTGTATATGGTGAGTAGGATTGGTGTCGAGGATTTTAAGCGTAGAGGTGCTTCTTTTTAGGAGAAATCTTTTAAAACATATTTTGCTGGTACTAAAACTAACTGGAATTTAGATTGGTGCGTTGAATAAATATAAATGTGAAAGAGATGGTGTGTGTGAAAAAAATATATATATATTCAAACAGGAAATAATTCTACACTTGAAATTCTCAATCTCTTTTCTCTCTATCTCATACGAATAATGTACTATTATAAACTATATATAGTGATTTGAAGATGTTTACTTGCATGAGATAGGGAGAAAAGAGAATGAGAATATCGAACGTGGAATTGTTCCCTTTTAGACAGATTATTTTAATAACTCGTTAATGTTAAAGCAACAATTTCTATAAAAGGGACGATGCGTATGACTGCTATGCCGATTCGAAGTTATCTGTTTATGCTATAAGGCAGGAAAGAAGTGTCGAGGTTTTATGCGAAAAACGATGTAGGTTTCGTTGAGTTAAACTGAGTTTCCTCTTTCTTTGGCTAGTTATACTCGTGGTGATTTCATTCTTATCCAAGTGAAACGTGCAGAGTGTGTTTTGAGCGTGGTTTTTCTTTAAATAAATGCAGTGATTCACTGGAATTTGGGACGATGCTGGAGCGTCACTGGTTGTTTACCGATCTTTTTAAACGACCGGTCTCGATGAACCCCGAAATCGTTCGAGGCTACGGATGTTTCTAACCAGCTGTCTCGTACAAAAGGGTGAAATGAGGTCGCGGCCGGCACGAAACTATGCGTTTGTCGCGTTCGTCAGGAGATGCTTGTTCAAAACGAAGAAGGAATTTCGTATCGAAACAAAAAGAAAACCACGCAAAGTATATATAGTTCAATCATTAAGAAGTCACATTGATCAACTGCATAGATTGGAAAGCAGAGAAAAATGAAAATATTATTTTATTACAACTACACTGGAATCGAAAACTTCTGTTGTTTACAGTATTCTCTCACGGTAATTCAATTTGATAACTAAATTGCTAACTAAATAATTAAAAATGTTTGCGTCTTAAGAATCGACGTAACGAAACTGAAAAATTGAGAAAAAAAAAACAGATTTGATGGATTTTGCTTTTGAGAGATTCATTTATCGTTTATATGAATCACGATCCATCGTAGTCGTGAGTTAATATAAGAAATAACTTTGTTTTTCATTCGTTGCTTTGCTGTAATTTCAATCTAGAGTTTCGTTTGAAATTTACGCGACAAATTCATGCGCCTTTCTATTTATATTTTCTATTTAAATTCCGATCGCTTTTGCGTAGCATAATTGTATACATCGTGCATGATCGCGATGGCAGCTTATACATCAAAGTGTGACCACGGTCGAGACACAAAAATTGCTAAATTTATACGCGAGACAATTCGATATACGTTCACCGCTTCCTGTATGTCAGAAATCTTGAGTTGGCGAGGTTCCCTCGTAACTCAGGCTCAACGAAAAATAGATAATTAACGAGCCATTCGGTGTTCGTTTCGAACATCGTGTGTTAAACTATGATGATTTTGACGAATTCTTATCGTAAGTAAAGGAACGCGTCTGTCACCGGAACTGTTGCCACCGGTAACGGAACTCGAGTCGAGTTTCAGCATGATCAGCTTTCGATTCGAGCGACGAAACTTCCATATACGAAATAATTCACGTGTCACGATTTGACTCTCTTTATAAGAATATACGTTTCTGAATTATTGTCCATTTTTAATTCGATTCATTTTTCTTCCAGAAGAGAGTAATTTTCCGTACGATAATAGGGTCGTTTTCCACGCGCTTTGTTCAAAGTTAATTTAAAAAATGCTTGAAATTTTTATAATTTCACTTTATTATTTCGAGTTGAAATCGAACGAACGAATTGAATTTATTATTCGTTATTCTCTATTTTTATTACTCCAACCGACCAAATAAAAGAATACGTTTAAATGTGAAGAACGTTGTGAAAAATCGTGAAATAAAATTATCTCGTAGTCATTCTTCTTCTCTAAGGATGATACGTACATCTGGATTTAATAAAATCAACATACCGCGTATTGATGCAAATATTAAAACGATTTAATATTGCAAGACAATTTCGTTCTAGATACAAAGGTGTACGATCAAAGTCAGAAATATCTGAATAAATCGTAATATTAAAATACCAGCGACTTCTTAATTTTAATCGATTGTTTATATTCGCATCAGCCGCTACTGTAATCGTTGGCGATTCGATTGCAATTATAAATGGAGTTTTACAAATTCGGAAAAAGATCGATTTATGTAAAAAACGTTAGCATTTACGACGTCTGATCTTTTAAGTTATCTTTTATAGAAAACACCTGGATGAGCGTAATACACATCGAGTAAGAAAGTATAATCTAATCCAACAGCAGAAAATGTATTGTATTGTATTGGCAACTAAGTGATTGCGGATTTTGTCAATACCACCTAATGACAAAATCCGCAATCACTTAGTTGCCAACCCAATAGAATAAAGATGGTCTACAGTAATTTATTACAATTTCAAAATTTATTTCAACGATCTAAACTTTGATATTAATTACAAATTCTCGTATTTTACAGAGCTCGAGCCGAGTTTCCCCTATCGAAATGTGACAGTGCGTCGGGGCGTGGAATTCAAGGATCATTATGACATCGAATCTGAGATCGGACGGTGAGTGATGATCGCACATCGATTTCCTTGCGTATCACATTTGCGTATTTTTATCGTTGACAAACAAAGAAACGCATCGTACCCTACGCGCTCGCGATGGGAATAGACGCGTAAAATTCGCTACGTAACTTTCCAGAGCCGACCACTCGACCGAATTTATGCATACAGAGGCACACGATCATTGCAAATATCGCGGCGAGCCGCAGGGTTGGGCATGCTGTTTCTGAATTTGACACAATATGCGTGCTGGTATTGCGCAATGATTATACAAGCTGTACCGAGACTCTAATGCATGCCTCAGGCATAGAGGAACGTTCCAAGGAACACGGAATTTCCGTTTTGAAGGACGCAACCTCCACTGACATGGATAAACGAGATCAAAGCTTCTAGTAGCCTTTTCGAAGTCGCTTGTTAATGCTATTGCGATGCTCGATTTTTGTATTTTTGAAAATCTTTTGTGACGCAACTGAACGCTCGAACAAATTTTTCAACGAGAATCAGACAAACGAGATTTATGATAGTCGAACGAGACGTAGGAAACGCGATACGTTTGACCTTTCAAACGCATGTTTAATATGCGAAAATGTTGTAAAAATTGTATTGGTTGCAATTCGTTGAGATAAGTTTCATTTCATAAGACACCTTACACGTATAACGAGAAACGACCTGGAAGCGGTTTCAAAAGTAAAACAATTGGAAAGAAATATTTGTAAGGTAGAGTAACGATGATATAGGTGATAAATTTTCCGTTGACGGAGGTGGATTGAGACTGAAAGAGAGTCCGAGAAAGAGGAAGGAAAAAGTACGAAACCTTGACGTGTTTATTCCTTCCGGCGAACGTGGTATTCCTGTCTTGTATACATCGTAATCTTTCAGTTACTATGCGTGTCTGCCATTATGAATGAGACTCGGACCTGAATGATTTTTACATGCAACGCCGCCGCTTTCACGAGCCAGTAAACCTACGAAATAAACTATTGGAACGTTTGTGCTTTCCAGTTACTATTCGCATTCCGATTTATGCCATGTTACTGCGATGTTTTTAAACAAAATATATATTGCGTAGAAAATATTGGTAAATACCTTGTAGTTATTTATCAGAGTAGGAAACGTTGTCAAAACAGAGAAATTATTTCGATGGATGTATCGAGCTTCAAAGGGAAGAATTTTATTTTCGATTAGGATCGGCGCAAAGGTACGATTTTATTTTTAATTGCGAGACACAATGTTGATGTGTATTCGTAACCACTAACCACGCACAAAGTATTGACAGATGGATCAGTGCCAAAGGTAAGATCTGAATGTCAATGACAAACTATTAGTGAACCATCGATTCTGAATGATTGTTTTCGATCGAGAAATATCGGAAGATCTTCGTCCACGATGCGTGGTTTAATATTTGAGATTATTCGAAGAAGCGATAAATTGAATTTTTATGGATACATAATCAAGTAACTTTAATTTCTTTTATTCGAGATGATTAGATAATAATTGGCGAAATGTATTGAAATATTACGAAACGATTTGAATGACTCAATAAATAGAAAATACTTGTTTCTGAAAAGTGGCAGAGGATTCTCTATAGAAAACTAACATGTTGATATCCGATATTGTTTCAAGAATTGAAGGAATTTCTACGCAATTTTGAAAGATTCTTTAACGATATCGTCGAGGAAGAATTTTGTGATTAAATTCAGAATCGAAGAACAAACTTTTAATCGAACATTCGCTTGTTTCGCTAAGCGTACGTGCTCTATCAATTTCTTGTTATTATGACAAACTTCTTATAACAGTCACTATCGCAACATACACTACTGACGTGTCATAGTACTTTAATCTTTACTTCGATAATTGCAACGAAATAAGAATCATTCATAATGCAAACTCTATTCAACATTTATATCTGAAAATTCCAATAAAAGGTGCACGATCTCGAGTCATTGACCATTTCTGTGATAAAATTACTTCATTCACGATCAGTGCGATATTTCTGGCATCGAGTTTCTAGAAAATCTCCATCTCGAATTATCGAGCACGACTGTTATTCTAATAACAAGTTGTACAATCGTAAATCATATTTTCCAATTAACCGGAATCGTTTTCATCGTTCGGCCATCTCTCTCGAATTGGCCATTTTCCATCGAGTGCGTGATATAGCGTGAATCATTGCAATGAATCGTAGCCACTTGCGAAAAATATCTCCTGGATGGCCATCGAAATGAATCGAATGTGCTGTGCAGCTTGATAACGAAGGTATGCAAAGAGTCGACGCTGCACGAAGTTCGATGTGTAATCAAGGTCCTTGCACGTCTATAAATAATGAGTTTTTCGTAGTGACTGACGTTCGTGCGTCGAATCGCCCAGCATCCCGACGCTTTTACTCTTCACACATAGATTCGATCGAGCATCGACGTTACGTTCCTAGCTGAATCACTTTTTCACTTTATCCGTGTATACTCGAGTTCGTTTATAATTGTAGATTATTCCTTAGCTTGAAATTATGATAATTTATCGTATTGTATAGTTTATCTATACGCCTGATGTACATCCTTGAAGGCTCGTAGTTGCTCAATGGAAGAACACGCTGTTGCAGTAATTTCGCATCGACTAGAACACTGTTCGAAATAATTGCGAAATTGCTACTACGAATGATTTTATCGTAAAGAGAAGCTAGAAAGTTTGTAGGTTCGATGACTGACGAGATCGTAGTAAAAATCGATCGTAAGGGAATTATTAGAAAATGTACGTAGACAAGAAGTCAGAAAGATCAAAGTGGGAAATAGCTGTTTAATTTTTTTAAACAGCGTATAACAACGTAGTAATAACTGTAGCGGTTAATTTTCACGCCAATTATTTCAGCAAATATTTTGACGCTGTTCCTTCTAAATGAACTCTTGGATCGCTTTTCACATCGCAACTGATTAAAATGCAGATTAAAACGCAGTCTCGCCACGGCATCATACGATTTTCTGGCAAACATTCCACTGCGATAATTTGTAATTTCTGCGTCCATAGTATGCTCTACTAACTCAATGAGTCACTAACTTGGCTTCGTGACAGTCACGTTACACCATCGTGTTTCAACAAGGCTCCAAAAACCATAGGTTGATTCTATGCTTCTGCGGATTTTTCTTTCTACGCGGCACATACGGTTTCTCTGTTCACGTAGATTTTTTTCGATTCGTTCCAAGTCAACATGAGATTCCTGTGCATATTTATAAACGCAGAACATAATAAATTATATCAATCGAGTGGAAAAGAATGCGAGCATAATCTCCTTTGTAACTATACTTATAGCCAAATCATCTTGGCGCGATATGAACGGTAAAATTGTCAAAGTTCTCGCCGGTGTTGCTTGGCACAACAAGACGCGATAAATTTTGAAATCGCGACAGGTGGACACGAGAAATTTATTTTGTTTGGTACAACACGGAATTGGACGCAACTATTTGCAATTTAATCGGGAAAAATCCATTCGCTCGTTTATCCTTCTTTTTTAAATGATCGCCTTCGTGATTTTTTAGCTTTTCCGATTCGAACTTTACGCGATTGGAGTTTTAATCGAAAGAGTTACGTTCCTCTAAACTCTTCTGTGTTGTTGCACATTTCCACGTGTCACTGGTTAGGTAAACTCGAAACGTGTTATTAAAGATATCGCGTATTACTCATCTCTTGCGAAATTATTTAGTATCGAGACGCGTCTGTTTGTATACAAAATTCCTAATTTTCTTGGATTTCGATGACTCTCTCTGCGAGAATGGCATCCTAACGTACAACGTCAACGTTTTGAGTAAAATTTTGCTGGAGGAAAATTTTTCGTAATATTTTCTCGTATTTAGAAAAATGCTTGAAAAATGAAACCGAAAAGCGTACGTAAACGATTTAACGTTATAATCTTGAAATCATTTAACTTTTAATCGATGTGCCATTTACCATCAGCGCGAGAAATGTAATTTTCATTAAAACAGATAATTCGGATAAATTGTTTTAACAATAATATAAATTACGATAAGAAAAAGGAATAAGGCGTCTTGTTTGTATAAGAAGAAGGAATGTTGGAGTTAACAAGGTCAAAGTTCACGAATGCGACTGCTGTTGGCGTTCTTGAGACGTTCAATGAAATATTAACAAGGTGTTTTTCTTCTGTTCCTTCACATACCTAAATGTTCTCGAGTTACCACGATTTATTACGCTGACATTTACTATTGCAAGACTACAAAGAAATACATACTATCATGTATTATTTAACCGTCTATTTTATCCCATTTTCAAGGTTCCAGCAAGCATCTTCTTACCATTAATGAGTTCCATTTTATTTGAATTTTGTTACCAATGAAACTCAACTCTATCGTAAAATTTGATATTTAAAAATGATTCAAGAATATTTGTAACGAGTATAGCTTTCGATGTTTGGCGCACATTACCATGCATCAACAATAGCTAATGCGTTTCTGTCCGCCGAACAATTTACATGAAACGTGTTTATGCTTCGAGTGAAAGCGATTGTACACGTTTAGACTGGGGTACGATTTTTTTCGTCGAAAATAACGTTTGATTTCGCGCAGTATCAAGAGTGAATTGTTATAATTTACGAGGCTTACGAGGTCTCAAAGAACATACGGGTGAAGATGGTTTATTGAATAACTGACAGAAGTCAATTCCTTTCTTCGCTAAATATTTGCTACTGTCGCTAAGTCATTCTAATAGTTCAAATGTTCTAGGAAATCGAGATTAGGATAGAAAAATGTATCGAAGTGAAATGAAATTAATCGAAAGATTAGAAAAAAATTACAAGAAGTTCAAAGAAGACTAGAAAGATGTTTGAAGCTATAGTTATGAAAATTGAAAATTACAAGTATTACAGAAAGATGAAAAGATATTTGGGAAATTATACCGCCGTTTAGAAACGTGCATAAATGCTCGAATTATTTGCACAGTAAATGTAACTTGTACATGAATGTTGTAACGAGAAGCATCTATAAAACAACGGTTAACACTTTTATTGCACAACTGGTAATTACTTGCCAACTTTTAAAGTGTATCTAAAAATATTCTGCCTGTACGACTCCAATTAAATAAAAATCAACTATTAATTTTACGAATCGCACGAATTTGCATATTTTTTGGTAACCGTACAAACGATAGATTTGAAAGCTATCATTTTGACGAAATTGTCACGCATAATTTTAAAATTAACGAATGAAAGCAAAGACAACGAGGCGATCGAAATCGCCTTGATAGAAGTTTCTACGGATTCTTAGGTGTACAGATACGTGAAACGAGATCGTACCTATTTGCAGAGGAAAATTTGGCACCGTTTATCGATGTAAGGAGAAAGTAAGCGACTTGATGCTCGCCGCGAAGGTGGTGAACACGGCGAAAAAGGAGGACAAGCGATCGGTGGAACGAGAGGTGGAAATTATGAGACGGTTACAACATCCACGACTTATTCAGCTCTACGATGCCATTGACACCGGCAAGCAGATATACGTAATTTTGGAACTGTAAGCTTTTAATACAGTAAATGTGTTCATTTTAGAGGAATCATATCGATTATGCTTATTTTCGCGTATGTTCAAGGATCGAAGGCGGCGAACTATTTGAGAGGGTGATAGACGACGATTTCGTGTTGACCGAGCGTAGCTGCGCCGTTTTCATGCGACAGATCTGCGAGGGTATAGAGTTCGTTCACCGACAGAATATTTTACATCTCGATTTAAAGGTAAATTATATTGAAAAATATCGATTTACGTTATTGGTACAGCTGAGCTTTGTTATTCGACGATTAATATATTTACTGCTACTAAAACATGACTTCTCCTCGGCAATTGCATGTGTTTTTCGTCATAGAAATTCTCAGTTTAACTGTATTATGAGAAAGATTGTTATTTATGAAAAAGTTACGCAACTAGCGAGGAGAAGCCACATTTTAGTAGCAGTAAATGTATTTTTTGTATATTTTTCATTCATAGTTATACTAACGTAATTTGCGTGTTAACTCTGAAGTATATCTGGTTTATTACATAAATGAACAGAGTTATTAAATAGAAGCTATAGTTAATGAATTTTAAAAGCGTTTTATCGCTTAGTTCGGTTTAATTTACATTTCACAATTTATCGTATAATTACATTATTTCGCTTTCTAATTCACATTTGACAATATGACGACGAGGTAAATGATATACTCTCTGTTTCTAGCCTGAAAACATATTATGTTTGACAAAGGAGGGTAATAGGATCAAAATCATAGACTTCGGCCTGGCGAGGGAGTACGATCCAAAGAAGAAGTTGCAAGTTCTATTTGGCACGCCGGAGTTCGTTGCACCGGAAGTCGTAAATTTCGATCAGATTGGTTATGGTACCGACATGTGGAGTATAGGCGTCATCTGTTACGTATTGTAAGTTGCCCTTCAATTTCGATCCGTTTACTTTACATGAAAAAGCAGGAACATAAATATTTGAGAAACGTCTAACAGCAAGTAAGAAATATCGACAATGCTTGAAATATACGTGTAATAAATGTTTTTGATTTTTCGAAAAAGAAGATTGACGAATTCAGAGAATGACACGTTTCCGATTAATCCATGTTTTTCTATATTTTCTAGTCTCTAAATCTTCAAACTTGTAAACTTTGAAATATTCGAATCTTTAAATTTTCAAACTGTTTTATTCTCAAATTCTCCGCGCTAAATGTATTCTTCCGTAATTTCTACTAAATTTAACATAGAATTTTGTTTATTTTATCTATCTTGCATATATACATATAAACCCTGATACATACTTCTCCGTAAATGCCTATTAAAAAAATTCTGCTTCTACTACAAACATTAGGCAAGTAGCCTTCGGCGAAAAACGTGTAAAGCGCGTTTCGCATTCCACAGCTCTATTTTCTAACAACGCGAAGAACATAAACTTAACGCTTGGTGATTTAACTGTAGATTGTACCAGTAAAATTATTTCTCGTTTGTTCCTCGACGAAGAAATTAAAGATCTTTCACATTTCGTTACTCCGTGCAAATTACAACGAGACGTAAGCAAATTATTTATTTCTATTTTCAGATTATCCGGTTTGTCACCGTTCATGGGGGACACAGACATCGAGACAATGGCGAACGTGACCATCGCGAAGTACGACTTTGATCATGACGCATTCGCCAATATATCCGAAGACGCGAAGGATTTTATCCGTTGTCTGCTAGTCAAAGACAAAGAGTACGTATCGCTTGTTATTTTTGAGAAATATTACGTCGTACCAAGGTGACGTGGATTTATGCTAAAATATCCGAACCACGTTGCTAATTACGATTGACAGAAGACGAACGTGAACACTGACACGTTCGCAAAACTTGTTAATGAACGCAGCTGCCCAGATAACGAAATACACGAACAACTTTCTTGTCTTCGACTGTACGTACATCGTTTGCCAAGAAAATTCAACAGAGCCATCATTTTCTGTATCCTTCGATCACCTTATTCCATTTTCTCGATTAAATGATCCACTGTTTCGAATTGTTCGGATTACGTTAAGTAGGGTAATTCATGGCAAATGTTTCCAACTGTGGCGTGTAATACGATCCCTACGTGCACACTTAATACAAACAGGAACGATAAGACTAAAAATTGATCGTGTAGTTACTGCAAATATTGAAACTGTGCAATTTTAAAGAATATGAACAAATCATGGAATATTCATAGAAACTAGCAGACTAAAAATTAATTATGTAGCAAATGGGATAAATATTAGGATTTCTCGTTAAATATTGAAATCGTGTAACTCTAGTTTCTCTAGGCGTTTATAAATTAAAGATTAAAAGCGATATCATTTTAGCGAACTTTTTACGTTGAAGGCGAAGGCAAAACTCACGAAGGAATTGTAATTTTAATTCCGATACGTAATCAAGTGTAACTTCTGTTTCAACTTGAGATAATAAAATAATAATTGTTGATACGAATGGCGTAATGAAAATTGCAATGGAAAGAAAATTGCTAAACTATTTTCCGATTGCTTTTATTCTGTTCGTTATACTTCGTCCTTCGCGATAGATCTCTAAAGATTATCTTACATTTTCGTATTTTAAATTTCTTAATCGGTCTCTAAATAATTTCTTAATTAAAAGATATCGAGATTGAATTTAATTCGAAGTAAAACCTTGCAAATGAAGAGAAAAACAAGTTCTTTCGAACGTTCGATTATCTGGACAGTTACGCTCGCGTTTTTGTTGTAACTCTTTCACGGTTACTCTTCGACTTTCTCTCTCTCCCTTTGTGTCTGATTAATCCCGAGCATGTTTCCTTCATCTTCAATATGTTGCTTTTCACTGGAAGCGATATATCTTATCACCAAGCAAAATCAATAAATTACTACCGACTTTCAAACGTCAGTCTTAATCTGCGTAAATCAATGATTTCAGCACGAATTACGATTTTACGTTCCCTTGAATTAAACTGCTAACAGAAAGCACGCAAGTGCGTTCAACGAATCGAATCGAATACTCAGTTTCTCAACTTCATTTTGAAGAAGAATCGAATTACTCTCGTACGCCGTGCGTTCACGAACAGTCTCAACATCCGTTCGACCTGCTGCTTCTAAAAAAAGCATTCAAAAGCGGCCAAGGAAGCGGAAATCCATCGTACATATAGTTTCTTGATCTCGGGACGTCTGTCTGGCTTCTGATTTTCGAATTCCATTCAAGGAAACACGTTCTATAGCTTCACACGTGTTCCCCGCGTTTCCATCTCATCATCGCTATCAAACCATTCGCTTCCATCGTTGAAAATCTATATAGAGTTGCACGTTCCCGGTTCAGAAGAGAACAGGCAAAAATTCTACACACATATATATATATATATATACACATATATATATGTTTGTGTAAAAGAGAGAAAGAGAGGGAGAGAGAGAGAGAGAAAGAATCAAAAAGCAACAGAGAAAGAGAGACACAAAACATCCGAAACAAATTCCTGGCGATCCTGGATCATCCTCACGAAGGAGCTGTCCAATCTTTCAGCAAACGAATGTCGGCCACGCACTGCAGGGAACATCGTTGGTTGGTGAAGAAGCCAACGACGCAGCAACAGCAGCAGGTCGAGCAAACGGCGACGATATCGAAGCCGAAGACTCCAGATCTGCCAATCCCTCGAGTGGAAACGAGCAGCGTAGACGAGTTGGACGTGACCAAGGACAATCTGAGGCTGTTCGTGGAGCGCTGGCGTGAGCACCCTGACAGCCCGTACATCATAGATATTCCTCAGTGCGTGTTGACTCAACAGAATTCGACTCGCGATTACGAGGAATTAGTGTCGTTAGGAGGTCACAGTCCGTCGCCTTGTGCCAGTATCTCCAGCACGCCGTCGGAAGCGACGGATAGCTCACCCCGAGAGAGCTACGGCACGTTCCTGACGGTGCCTAGCTACGGTCTCGAGAGGAGAGCCTCCGAGGGCGTCACCACGGAGAAGTCAAGGGGCGACCCTGCCAGTCAAATCATCTTGGCTGATGAGATAATTAAATTATCAGAGCGTCTGAGATCCATAGCGACGGGAGCGAGCGGATATTCGAACGAGGAGGGAAGCTCCTCGGAGACTGGCGAACAGAGCAAGAAGCCGCTCGAAGACAAGGACAAGAGGAACGGTGTTCGTTCGAGGAACGGATTGGTTTCTGAAAATACCGAATGCAACGAAATTGCAGAGAAATTGTCGAGCATAGTAAGACACAGGAAGCTCAACGGAACTACGTTCCATAGTAGTCGTAGTTTTGATAGGAACACGGAAACCAGTACCGCGAATATGTTCGCCTCGTTGAAGATGTCGAAGCAGAAGAAAGAGGAGGAAAGAAGCCGAAAAGGCTCTATAGAATCAGTTAGGTCGGAATCTTTCGACAAGAAAGTGGAAGATATAACGAGTAAGAAAAATGAAATAATATTTAACAGAAACGAGGCTGAGATGGATCTTACTCCACCGTGGCGGCGTGCACGAGTGAAACAATTTGGCGAGACTAGTAGAGACGTCCCACGAATTTCTGCCCTTCGTAATTTGCATAAGAGTCTGAATCTGGATGAACCTACTAATACCAAGGATTTGTTGCTACATTTGCTTGGTGAATGGGAAGGTGCCACGAGGTCGTCAGGAGTTGGTCGCAAGTCTGTCAGCGTCGATTGGTGTGGCGAGGAATCTGTTGCTAGGAAAACGATGAACTCTTTGGCCGAATATTTCCAATCGAAACAACAAAAGTCGACGGCGACTAACGTTAGTTCATCCACGTCGAGTTCGATACATCGTTGAGACGACTCCGTTGATGGAGTTGATGGCTACGTTGGATTTGCCTGTCGTTTCTGACGACGACGACGACGACGATGAAGATCGTTCGCCATTGTGAAGTTCTCAGGGCAATACAAGATACAGAGACGGTGGTGGATGACACAGTGAAGATATACGATTATTTTTTGTTTAATGTATACAAATAGCGTTGCTACTTCCGGTTTGGATGGAACTGAAGAGTTTGTAATGAGTGCGCAATTTCATTTGAATTCATTTGTGTCGAATTCAAGTAAATACGTGAGTTCCTGGTGAATTGCTCGTGTTGTCAAATTTATTATGTTCGATTTAGAAAAAAAAACGAATGATTATTAAAATTTTTCGATAATCGACACGTGTATTCATTCTTTTCTTTGGTCTCCAAGAAAATATTCCTTTCACATTCAGTTTGGTTAGCAACAAAGGGAAGAATATATAGTAAGAGACAAAAATTTTCGTATAGTTGAAATGTAAAAATAGAAGAAGAGATGTTTCCTGTACTAAGTATATTTAACTACATGTAACTGTATATTATGTATGAACTTGCTGGAAACCAATTTGCGCATTACTCCACTTTTTATGAATTTCGTCATTTCATTATATAAGTACATGATTAACGTTCAATTCTCAATGAACAAATCATTTACTTTCGTAAATTCGTTCATCGCAAGAAGATGACACAAATAACGATAAATTCCGAAGTAAGTCGAAGAAACAGTGTTCGCAAGCAACATAATCATTCTCCTGTACCTTCCGATCTGTGAAGCTCATTAACGTGGCTTCTAAACGATTCAAATGTACACGAACAAAAACTAATCCATAAATGGATACCGTATAACGTCAAAAGAAGATCTTAAAGACTGGGAAGATATAGAACCAGATTTCTCTTAATTTTATTAGTCTAAATTTACTGTTAACGTTAGTTGTTCGTCAATAAGAGAAGAGAAAGAAATCAATTAATTGTATTACACGAACAATTTTGTCTCGACAAGATGTTACTATTATGCGAATCTTGTCTCATTGCAAGTTACCAAATAACTACGTTAAAATTCGTTTGTGTAATAACAATAGAAAATAGTTCTCATTTTATTTCTACATCCCAACTACGTATACGAACGCTTTTGTCTCTCGCCATGCTTAAGATATCAACCGATTTGCTTAGAAATAATCGTAAATTTGATCGATTGTTTTGCTTCAGGAAAAGACCATCCGCTACTCAACTCTTAGAACACCGATGGTTGGACGTGGCCTTGGAGAATCCGATCTGTAAAATTAGATTAAAGCGGTATGTCATCAAGAAGAGGTGGATTAAAGCGGTAAACACCATACTGGCGTTGAGACGAATGGGTGCCCATTTAGAACTCGATTTAGTTTGATAGCCTATGTCTAGATTACTTTTAGATAGCGAATTAATCATTAAGTTTCGATTTTCGTCGAATATACAGAAATATCGCGATGATTTCTGGCCAGGATACTTGCATCAGCGTAACCATGTGAAGCATTATTTTTCTCCTAATTTGCGTCTCTGTTAAGACGTAACGATTAAAACATTCGCAGGCGTAATGAAATTGACGCTAGAAGCTTGTAACTTTTTCGTAGACGCTGAAATTCTAGTGTTTGATTAATATCCCCTTGGAACCGTAAATTTGGAAACTGTGACAGTATTATAGGAACATTGATACGATGAAACTAATTCCACTTTAACATGGAACAATGTACCAAAAATTATTATAAGCCTAGATGTAATTCAATCACTAATTCAGACAAATATTTTAATACTTTTCATCGTTACCATTTAATGTATTGAACTATACATATCTTCTTTTATTTGTATACGAATGAAATACGCGAGCCATATAGTTTAGCGATGATTATTTATCTGTTACGTAATTAACATTTGATTTCAGGTTGATTTAAATTAGATAGATAATTTAAGGAGAACTTATGTCAATATATGTATGTATTAAAATAATTAATTCGACATATCTTTATTTTCAATGAGAATTCTAAAAGTTTCATTTTCTTTTAAATATCTGAAAATCTTTCTTATTAGACGATAGAATTTCGATTGACTTTTTTTTCTTTGAATTTAGAACATAATTATAATTAGAATAAGAATAACTATATTCATAACTATAACTTTAACCAATATTTTTCCATTTAGTTTATGCTTTGACACCAGTTGAGGTTTCGATAATGTAAGTACTTACATATATCATAATATATAATCCATTATTATATTAATAACATATGCATATCGACGTGTAACTCTACCAAATTAAACGGCATATTATAATTTTTTATTTATATTCCCAATAACGAATACGAATGTAATAAATATTCTATTTTCTATGACTTTGTTGCATGAAACTGTACGGTAAACTGTCTCTTTGTTGTTCGAGTGAAGGATTATGTCCGTCGTAAATTTATAATCCGTATTCGTGATACGCATGATGATTGTGTATTCGTCTCTAGCTATTCGAAACGTCGCATCGCCTCTGCGATTAATAAATACTAAAAGGTCGAAATTGACGCCACCGTCGATAAAATACACGCGCTCAGCCACGAAATTCCTGCAACCGCGTGTATTGTGAATTTATGAGGCTATCCCGCGATAGGAATTCGTATTATGTAAATACGAGCATGTAACGCACCAGCCGTGCCTTTAAATAAAGTCTTCTACAGTGTCGTGGACGACACAAAGCCGCACGATATTGTATTATATTAATAGATGTAGTTCCACCTGTTGTCTGACGTTTCCTATTCTCAATCGCGGCTGTTGCTCCTCGCTCGTTGTACAGCGAGGCCTTCAAATAATTTAACAAATTCAACAAATTTCAGAAAAGTAATAACAGAAAATAAAAATGATAATAACGACAATGTTAAAAAGAATGTCGTTAATTTGTTCTCTTCTATTATTTATAGTCGCATCGATCATTTGCATGAGTTATTAGTAACAAAAGAATGAAAAGTTACTATATATTATTATATGTATTATAGATGATTTAATAATTCTTGCATTGATTTATAATCTTTCGTTTTAACAAAACGATTGTTACTTGGAAGTAATCTTGAATATGTACGATAATGAGTTATATACAATATAGTGTACCATTAGCGGTATAATTTTGTTAGAATAAAATAAAATTGCTACAGTTGTTATTGCAATTGTACATTCTTTCTTTAAAATAATTTATTGTTTGTAATAGTTTTAAAAAATGAGACTGATCGGAGAATTTCACGATTTCCAATTCAAATTCGTCTTCTAATATTTCATACAGATGGCGTCGTCGTATAGTCCGAAGTTGTTTTCTAACATTGACAGTGTTTATTATATAGGAAAGGTTATATCGTTCTTTTTCTGTTTCAGAAAATATTAATTAACAATAATTATAATTTCTCGAGTGTGACGTGTGATAGTAGTTATCTTTTTCATAATTTGATGACATTCGTTCTTGTCAGTATACATTATACTTTATTTTCACAAAGATGGTGAGTAAATGATGTATTGTAACAAAAATAAATTTCGTGTCATTTTAGAGGTATTTTAAAACAAATGTATTAATTGTATGTTAAAGTACTGTTTAAAGAGCATTCAATTCAGTACAATTCAGTAGGTTATGTTTTGGTTTGCTAGGGATACGTAACCATACGTTCTTTAGATTGCATATCAATGCATCTTAAAATATAATGTATTTATATTCCAGGTGGATGCTTTGCAGAATTGGAGTCCTTATGCCAAAAAATACGAACCCTTGAAAGCAGGTAGCATCGATGGTACAGATACAGAACCACATGATAAAGCTATTAGTCGTGCGATGCAAGCACATTATGAACCACCTCATGGATTAAAATCAAAACCAGAAAGGACATTATTTGTCGCCAGATTTGGTCCAAAAATTACCAAACATGATTTAAAGGAGGTATGTTAATATACTTCAACCTTTATTGTTTTCACAAATAAAAAAGATATATATACTTAAGTATTAACAAATTTAGTTTTTTTCTAGATATGGAGAAGTTGTATCGGCAAAAGTTATAGTTGATGTTGTAACTGGATTATCTCAAGGTTATGGATTTATTGAAATGAGAAACGAAGATGAAGCTAGAAGAGTAATTAGACGTTGCGTAGATGCTACGTTAAAAGGCTATCAAATTTTTATAGATTACGAGTGTGGACGTACTTTGCATGGGTGGAAACCAAGGAGACTTGGTAAGTAATTACATCCTAATTGCTTATAAGTGTCCAACTTTCTAAAATTTATATTATAATATGTACAAATAACTAATAGTTGTTATAATTTTATATAGGTGGTGGTTTTGGTGGCAAAAAGGGGTCAGGTCAACTTAGATTTGGTGGAAGAGATAGACCTTTTAAAAAACCAATCGTACCTCATATTATTAGGTCAAATCCTCATCACGAACAACATTATCATTATGAAGAACATCATCAGTATCAAGAACATCACCATCAAGGACATCAACGTTATTACCAACATTAAGAAAGTATCCATAATTAAAATCTTTTAATAACTTTAACATTAAAATATGTTGTAATAATGTTGTCGTGATGTACCTGCGCTTGTTCAAAGATTTGTTTGTAGATTTTGTAATTTTGACTTCATTCTGGTAGAAATATTTGAAATCTACACTTATTTTGTGAAATATATTTTAACGTATTATACGTTATAAGTAATGTATAAATTAAGAAGTAAATATCACTTACTAAAAATAAAATAAATTTAATGTCAGAAAGTTTTAACGAAGAAACAAATGTTTAATATTTCTCCTGATTATTTTCTAAAATAGAATTGAAAAATACGTAAAACATTCTGTTTTTTTTTTCTTACTAAATCTGTGCTATATCTAAACCATTGCAATATATTTCTAATCGTTGTCTGATGTCATTTAAAGAATCCTTTTTTTTCAGCATACCATAAATTGTAACCGATGCCAAAACCATCACTGTGAAATATGTTGTTTTCGTTTCCAAAAATTACAAAACATGTTCTAGAGAGAATAGCACTCTTTCCAAAATAAAGCACGAACGTCCTAAAACAATTTTGATTTATCCAAAATAAAGAATTTTTTAATTCTTCAATCCTAAAAATTACCGTAGCATAACTGTTCTACTCATCATACGACACCACAGATCAATTTTATATCGTTGCTAGAATTAATTAACACGTAATTATTTTAATCAGCGGAATTCAGTTGATTATTCAATTCGTTTTATCGGAAGATATATAATCCAAAACAAATAATGATGCCTAGCTCGTTAATTGCGAAGGTATTAAAACCATAACGACTTTAATCTTGTTAAATTATATCAAATTCATTTTATAATAGGACATTCGTTGAATCAACTAAAATTGTTTTCCTTTTATACCGTATAAAATTCTTTCTTGCACAAAAATAGAAGAATATTGTTCAAACTATTGTTCTCGATTGTTTCCCGAACATTTATACGTACTCTCACTCTGTATATTTGTAATCTCGCACTAAAATCTCAAGATGGTCCAATTACGTATGTTAAATCAGATCAACTTCACTATAATGAATACCATATAACGAAACTTTCGTTGAATCAATCAAAACTACTTTCTAGCATATGTAGAAAGCTTTCTTGTTCTTCTTTCTATCTTCAAGATTTATATTCCCATCCTATGCTCGGAATCTCGCGTTAAAATCTATGAAGATGTTAAATTCCTCCAATTGAGTAGGCGTATGAAAGATTAACAGGCGTCGCATGACCAATTAATCAGCGATCATTGGGAGAGCGAGCAACGCCAAGAGAGTCGAGTTTTCTGGCGTGGTGTGAAGCGAGGTCGTCAGCGTCGTGGAACTTTATACTCGAGCGTCGGCGACACCCTCTCCCTAGCACGGCCCCCTCCATATATGGAGCCGCCTCGTGGTTCGACGTCGGCCACGCGAACGAAGTTTCAGCCTCCAGGCTGCCTCTGATAAGGTAGCCTCCTTCCTCGACTCGTCTCTCTCTGCCTCATCCACCTTCGCCAAGGTCTCAGAGGGGCAACCTACATTCGTTTATCGCGGCTCCTATTTCGTCGGTTCGGACTCGGACGCTGCTCCCGTTTTCACAACATAAACGCTGCTCTGCCCCCAGTGCTTTTTTTATTCACGGACACAGCTGCCGGAGGTGGCAGCTCGTATACGCGGTCTTCGCTACATTTTGTAGCCGTTAGATACTAGATGTCGCACACTTTACTCTCTTTAGAGTTTGAGTTTTGAGTTCTTTTTCTGATTCTTTCGATTTCTTATTATCAAATTATTAAGAGTCGACTTTATTATGAGCCTCTATGTGTGTAGAATACAAACGTAAAATATTAGGAAGAGATTGGTGAGTCGAAGCAGATCACTTGCCCATAAAGTATAATTTATTCTAATGATGATTTGACTATACTCGTGGCTCTTCTATGTGAATAATTAACGTTTCATAAAATAGAAATGTGTAATACATGTATTATGTATTGTAATACATACAAGTAGAATATTAGGAAAGATATTGAAATAGTAAAAAGTGAATTTGTTATACTTGTAACTTTTCTATATGCACGATTAATATTTTATGGAACAAAGATTCTTTAAGGTTTTTTATAATGTAAGAATTTATAAATCTTTTCTGCGAGGATCAATATATAGATTCTTGTAAAAGTGCAATTTTTTCTGTCATGCGATTAATATCTCATTATCGTTATTGGGACTAAAATAGTGATTTTCTTAACACCTTAATTTTCTCTTTTTCTTTAGTATACATCATAAGAATGTATATATAGATTTATAGATCTTTACTGTAAACTATAATAATTGTAGAGTTTGTTAGAACATATGTCAGTAGTATAGATATAAGTTTCTTCGTACGATAATAACATCATAGAGATATAAACGAGATGAATTTTTGGAACATACTTTCAGTTATCGTGTAATAACTAAATGACGTATAGAATATCATAATAATTCTTTGCACATAACTTTAAAAGCTATATTCATATTTTTATTCGTTCCTTTATTGCGTTTGCACATTGTCGCATTTTTCCCTTGGATATTTGAACCTTCCATCTGCTTAATACATTCTTTATGACTTTGAAACTTTCATTTTATGTTCTTAAATCCCACGATATCCTTCGAACGAGAGAGAAAAATTTTATTTCATCCGACATAAATATTTTTATTAACTCTTCGACAAGAGATAAATTTTTAATAAATGCTTTTATTAGATATCCTCTGAGAAACATGGCGAAAATTCCCCATAATTATTGATAAGATATTATAAACAAAATATTAAACAATATTAATACGAATTGTTTGAACGTTATAAGCAAAATATTGAATAACAAAGCACGAATAATCGTTGTTTCAACATTACAAGCAAAATATTCAATGACAGAACGTTAATAGATATTGTTTCATTAATCTTCTCGTTAACAGTGAATAAATTACATTCTACGCAACCATTTGTATCACGACTATAATAATGATTACATTAATTTCAGGCACACAAAGTGCGTCGGATGGCTTTTAGCAAAGGGACCATCATTTTCATATTGTTATTGCAGGAGGGTAAATATATTTAGTAATGTGCCGTAGACCAATGGGCAGTAAACTTTCGACCGGTGCGGTAGCGAGGTTGAACACGATACGGGGCAGATATAATGTAGCTATATCAGCGTCAGAAATAACTCACTCGGGGAAAAATTTATCCTGTATTTCTATAATCGTTCTAGCATATGCACGGATAATGCTCCAAAAGAAACACGGATAAATTTACTTCTAATGTCTTTTTCATGTTTGTTCAGCAGATCGATGTTCTGTAATACTGCGAGCTTTGGTTAAAAATTTATACACAGACGGGACACCCTCTTAAGAACGTATTTCGAAAAATGAAAGTACCGAGGTAAAAGCTACGGCTTTTATCGTACGCGATAAACAGTTCCGTCGAATAACCTTCCCGTGAAGCGTTTTTTAATTCGCCGCAGTTTCCGGCTTTTATTCCTTCCTTTCCTTTTCCCTTGCTCTCGGTCAGACGTGAGCACAATTACGAACTCAAGATTTCTCGTTCTGCCATTAAAAGTACTGCCCCTTCCCATTTTCTTTCTTTTCTTTAAGCTAACCGGCGAACGGAAATGAAGGTAAAGTGGAAACGCGAAAAGGTTTGCGAGTGGTTGGCACATAACGTTTGAATAAATTGCTATCTTTATATACTCAGAATTAAGCGCCCTACGATGGAAGAACACGATCAGCATTTGCGGATTAAAAGTGTTACGCCATCGAGCCAGGTATTGGAATGTACGTTCGTAAACTTGGGATTTTTAACGGAACAGAAGAATACGCATATGGATTTGCCCAAGATGAGTAGGTTTGTTTTGAGAGGAAATTAGGTAGAATTAGCAGTGGCGGATACTGGTTATTGAATAAGTTATTAAATTTAATTAAGTTTAGATTGGCTGTTTGCTAAATTTATTAGTAGATATTTCAGTGCTAGTTACAGTAGGTAATCATTTAATATTAGCTGTAGCCGCTGTAGGTAATAATTTGATAATTGTTTCGGAGTTAGTTGGAAAGTTAAGTTTTAATCGTAGTAAGTCCTTAGAATCCGAATTAAATACAATTTATTATTAAGAGTAAGCTACTTATATTCACTGGATGAAGATAAAAAAAGTACTTGAACATCGCATTTATTTTGATATCTGTATAGTACTTCATTAGGGGAAAGCTCTCTCTTATTAACTTTGTTATCATCCGAAGGTACCTCCTTTAGTACGATCATGGAAATTTTATACCGTGGCGATGTACTTTATGAAACATTTTATTCTATAAATAAGCGATTGCAATAAAAACTGTGTAAGATTTATTGCAACTATGAAGTAATCTACTATACTTGATATTTGCACGCATTGACAGAAAATTTTTATTGGAAATACAAATTTTTGTTCTGACCTGTATTCGATATGCATAGTTAATAAAATTTACGTTTCTTTTCATATGAAAATTCTGTTCGGACAACTTACAGCTGACGTTATTACAACCGATTCAGCGAAGTAGATTGTTCCCTGAATCGTTCAGACAGCCAGAGCATCCCACTCGATATTCACCTGTGAACTTCAGAACCCTTCAGAAACTTCTTTTTCAAACATCACAAAACTATATAAAATAAATCGAATAACTTTCCAATATCTGGAAAATCCATACCAAACGCATATCGATATAAGCAAATTTCCTAATATTTTTATTCAACTGTATCGACTCAATCTCGATCCAATGAACACGTTCTCCAACCAAAAACACCATTCATCGTGAAAAGACAGAAGAGAGAAGCTATCTTGAATAAATAAAAGCAGTCAAAACATGAACGAAGAAGTATCATTCGCTGCGGCAGACGAAGCTCCTAATCAAGTTATTCAAAATTCGCGTATCCCTTCCAACTTGACGATTCCATCGATGATTCGTGTCGGCGGGCGCAAGCTGCGGGGGTGGAAGTCAGGAGGCAGAAGGGGTCCACGGGAAAGGGAGCGAGATCCACGCACGGGAACGTGTATGTAGAAGGGACGAAAATAGTAGCGTGCCAGGATCGTATCACGCTCGCATCCAACGAACGTGGATCTGCTTTCTATTAATAGCGAAACGAAAGGGAGCGGATCTCGAGTCAGCCTCGCCGAGTAGGCATCGTTCCGAGCCTTGGTGCTGTCCAGGCTCTGATCGCAGGACTTCAGAGCCGCTCGAGCTGTCGCGGACTCCACATTCCACCGGCAAAAGCTCTTCCGTGCGTGCCTGTTGAGAAGCATCTCTTGCTCGGCTGGTGCCCCGAGGCGAACCCTCATACCACACGTCATACACACACACACATCTCCCACCCACCCACACAACATTGCCACACACATTCACACCGTTCGAGTGTAAGTTTCTAATAGCATCATTCTATTCTTTTTCTTCTCTTCGATATGTGCTTCATTATTTAACTTGGTTTGATTCAGTGACATAACGTATATCCGTATTCTGAGAATGTTTTCGCTCGATCTTGGATCGCTCGTGTTTGCATGTCGATC